CGGTGTCGGACATAACGTTAACCGTGAATTACATTTGTCGCACGTACGGCTCTGGTGCCAATGGACCGCCTTGAAATTTATATAAACTCTTTTTATTTGGTGAATCCTTTATCTCTATTCATGTCTTCCAAATCTATCTCTTTATGATTAGAGTCACCCACAATTAAGATGTGTAACGGCTTCATCCACATAATTTCATGCACTAATTTACCAGGATTTGCGTTGTTTATAAATGGCTGTTTTGGCTTCTATATACACATCTGGGTATTAGGAGCTTAGTTACGTATTCAGGCTGACTGTAAAAAGGGCGCAAGTGGTTGTAGGAAACGTGGACCCATGATGTCCATTTCTAATCATGTCATCATTCCCCAGTGAAGATTTGGGGACATTGTTAATTTAGCTAAATCGAGCTATATTTCTGGATATCTGAGATAACATCCTCCATCCGTTTAATTGCAGCCCCAATTTGACTATTGACTCGACGACTAACTTTTTTTCAAAACATAACACACTACATTCATTCCTCCACGATAAAGGAGGAAGAATTTGTGACCATACTATTCGAGTACCAGGGTCTATGTTTGAACTTTTTAAAGTGTATTCAATATTTTATGACAAAAGACACACGACCTCATTCGACCAAAATCATGGGGACCGCGGTGGCCAAGTGGTTAGGGCGTCTGACATTCTGCTTCCACTAGCCCTCCACCACTGTGTCGCGGGTTCGAGGTCTACGTGGGGCAGTCGCCAGGTACTGGCCGTAGGTTAGTGTTTTTTCTCCGGGAACTTAGGCTTTCCTCCAACACCGAAACCTGGCAGGTCCTAAAATGACCATTGCTGTAACTAGGATGTAAAACACAAACAAAAAAAACAAAAGCATTGCCCTCACAGTGCACTACTAAGAACTGGTTTACAATTTAGACATAAAATAAGCTAATACGATAGTTATAAATGACAAAGGGCTCTTTACCTTGGTAATTAGGAAAATTCTAAAAACTGTGTGTATTCACCGATTACTGAGTTGTGACTGCCTATATTTAGGAATTCTCCGTCTTAACGGATATGTACGTGCTAGGAATCTAATCTGATTGGCTAACATCAACGTTATGTGACAAGTAAACCTAAGACACAGAACAAGGGTACTGCATTAAAGAAGAAAAGCATTTTGTAGAACATTTGAACAAGATCGGCTGAAAATTATTAACTACTAAATGATAACTGAACAGATAATCCTTATAGATATGACTAAAGTATGATACATATAAATGTCTAATTACAGCAATTTCTATTAATAGGTATTATAAAGGATGAAACTATAGGAAAATGAGATGCTAGTAACATATCTAAAATCGCCATGCTGTTTGTCTTACTAATTGTTCAATTATAACAAAACGAAAACAATACCAATTAAAGCCAATTAAAGATAGTAAGCCATGACTGTCAATACAACTTTTATGGAACTTGAAATAATTTCTGCTACAATAAGATAGGTCGTAAGTGAGCATACTGCACATGTCATCCGTTTGTCAACTTTTCCTTTAAAACGCTACTTGTCCTGAGCAGCTACAGTAAGTGGATTTTAACTACATTTGGCCTGGAGTATTCTCGGCCAAATGATATTCAATTTGTTTTAACAGAGGGTGTGTCCCCCTGGGGGCAGAGAGGTGAGGCCGGATAGGGGTAATTGAGGTAAATCTGCTCCTGGTCAGAAAGAGGGAGGGTAACAAAATGTTGTCTAGAACATCCTTAGGCAAAGGGAATTCAATTTTGTATAAAAGGATGGTGTGGCTCCCCAGGTGGCAGAGGGGTAGGGCCCATTAGGGAGAACGTAGAGGAAAATGATTAAATTCTTTCTCCTTCTGTATGGGCATTCTTCGGCAAAAGGGACTCAATTTTAAATTTAAAAAAAAAGGTAATGCACCCGTTGGGCTGAGGGGCAGGGCCCTTATGGACGAAATGTAGTTAACTCATTTCAAATTATTTTCTTCTTCTGTACAAATGGAGGGATTTGAACCAAATTTAGTCTAAAACATTCATATATATAAACTTTATTTGTTTTACAACAATTATGAAACAAGTAATTTCAACTTATACTAATCACTCTTGTTGGCCCGAATGTTATTGCGCAGGGGGTCTTAATATGGGAGGAAACCGGAGTACCCGAAGAAAACCCATGTAATCAGGCACTGGTAACCCCTTACCTTTTCACGTCCAATCGGGGAATCGAACCCCGGTCACCTTGGTGAAAGGTAAGTGCACTATCCACTGCGCCACCCGACCACCCATCATCTTCGTGCAAGGGTAATTCACTTCATATAAATGGAGGGTTTGGCTCTCCTAGGGACAGAGGGACAGGACCCATTAAGGAGAACATGGGGAAATGAATTGAGGTATTTGAACCAAATTTGGTTTAGAGCATCTTTAGGCAAAAGGGACTCAATTTTGTAAAAATGGAAGGAATCGCCCACATGGAGGCTGAGAAGAAGGGGCTAAAAAGCTACTTATCTGGAACAAAATGATGCCTCAGCTATATTTGGTTTGGAGCATCTTTCATTTGTCAATTCAAGGTTGGGGGGGGGGGGGCGCAAAAGGTTAGATCCCTTACCCATAACTATATATTCATTTGATAGGTATCAAGAGATAAATACAGTCATGATGTTAAAATTGACTGATAGGTTTGGCCCCATACCTTGGAATTTCATTCCTTAGCAATAACTTTATAATGGTTAATATCCCCACCCCATTACCATTTATGCCATTGCTTGGCATCAAGACACAAACACAATAATGATATTAATATTGAACCTTGGATCACGCCCCACCCCTAGGGAGGTAATTTTTGGGCCATAACTTTGAAAGGGTTGATATCCCATCCAATAAACAAATAAGCATTTGATAGACTAAATGGAAAACAATTGAAAGATATAAACGCATTCATATTCAATTATTGACCCAGGGGTGTGGTTCCACCTGTAGGGACTAAATTATTGAACATTACTTTGAAATGCTTGAGATCCCCACCCGATAACCATATACTATTGCTTTGTTTCCGTTCCCACGCATAGCCATAGGGACCTAATTTCGCGGCCTTAACTTTGAAATGGGGTTGATATCCTGAAGCAAAAGCCATATATACCATTGCTTGGGTAAACAGTCATTTTCTTGTAGTTCTGAAAAAATAAAATAGTCTCACTTTTTTCCAGCAATCCAGATTTTTATACAGGAAATAAAGCATAATATCGACAGTTTGAAAACACTGAATGATGATGTCAGCAAGTTACGTATTGTTTACCAACGTAGAAAATCATGGTTGGAGGGTACTTAAAAAGTGTTCTATTTTGGGTAGTACCTTTCACGTTAATTTGCTTATATACATATTTCTATATTCTATATTTTATATATATATATATAAAAACTACTGTGTTTTATGCTGTAGTCTTTCACTATTCTTGTGTGTTTGTGTTTGTCAAAGTTTGTCAAAGTTTTCGTGTCGATCTCTAAAAACACCCACATACCAACACAACTGTCTGGCGATTATAAATGGTAGATATCTAGTGTCTTCAGATTAATCAAATGCCATGCAATTAGCTATTGAAAGTAAGCACATTGCCAAAACACAACTTTTGACCGCAAACATATCCGAAAACTACTTTTGTGAGTTTGTTGAGTGCTAATGCAACACCTTTCCTCAATGAAGGGTAGCATTCATGCTGAACTTGACCAGCGGTTTAAAAAGGAAATTGTATGACTAGACAATATATTGTTCCAGAATTTTGTTAAAATTTGTAAATAGGAAATTGTAAAGAATACTGTTTTTAGCTCGGGCCACGTGAGCTTATGCCGAGGTGTGACGTACGTCCGTCTGTCCGGCGTCAAGGTTTAACTTTGACCAAAAGGCCTAGGGTGATGATATTTGGCCAGAAGCAAACTGGGATGAAGGGCTACCAAGTTTGTTCAAATGAATGACCTTCACCCATATTCAAGGCCACAGAAGTGAAATATATTAAAAGCTTAAAACAGCTTCTTCTGAATAACAATAATTCCTAGAGTAATGATATTTGGCCAGTTGAAGGGCTAAGAAGTTTGTTCAAGGGGTTGACCTTGACTTATATTCAAGGTTACATGGGTTAAAATATGTTCAAAACCATATAACAACTTACCTGAGTAAGCAAAAGGCCCAGGCTGATGATATTTGGCCATTAACACGCAAGGATGAAGGGCTACTAACTTCAAGTATGTTTAAATAAATGACTTTGACCTATAATCGAGGCCACTTGGGTCAAATATATTTTAAACCTATAAAAAAATACTTCTGAATAACCAAACTGCCATGCATTTTTAGCTTACTTGACCCGAAAGTAACATTTTACTTTAAACTACTTCCTATTAATAACCAAAAGGACAAAGGTGCTGATATTTGGCCAGAAGCAAACTTGGATGAAGTGTTACCAAGTTTGTTCAAATGTATGACCTTCGCCCATAATAAACGTTACAGGAGTCAAATTTTAAACTTTAAACAACTTCTTCTGAATTGTCAAAATGCATAGGGTGGCGAAATGTGACCAGATGAAGAGCAATATATTTTGTTTATGTGAATGACCTTGACACATGTTCAATTTTACATCTGGTCAATTGTGTGGTGATATTTGGCAGGTTGCATTCTGGGATAAAGGGCTATGAATTCAAAATTTGCTCAGTTCATTTTTGACTTTCAAGCTCGTAGGAGTCAAATGTGTTAAAATCTTTTAACTTGTTCTTTTGAATGACTTCGAGTCAAAACACTGATATTTTGCCTGTATCTTTTTTGAAGTACATAGCTTTATTTAAGTCCATTTCTTAAGTTACAAGTGTGAGATTAATATCAAGTGAACGACACATGCCCATTTAGCCTTTTGTTTGTTTAAAATCTGTGAAAAACACTAATTATTCCTGTTCTTGTAATATAATGCCTTCAATGTTCCCAGGTATTGTCATCAGATTTCCTACACTTTATGTTTCAGATTTGGACAGAAACATCAGAAATGACTTCAGTTATCCCAACAGAGGCTATAGATATCCACAACGAATTGGTGTTTTATCTTGGAAAACAGATTGTGGATACCAAATTACATGAACTTAAGAACCTGTTCAAAAATAATCCATTATTCCCAGTCGACATTGCTTCAATTAAAAGCATCTATGACCTATTCGACAATCTTATGGGATACAAAACAATAGTTGTGGGAGACTACACACAATTTGTACAGAAACTTAAACTTACAAATCCAGACCTGGAGAGATATGTGAAAGAGAAAGAAAAGGAAATTAAAAGCATTGTTGAACGAGGTGAGTGAAATGTACATTTTATTTCATGTCTATATCAACAATATTTTATCAAAATTAAGAATATCTGCATAATATGCCTGTGTAAGATTTGGATTTATTTGAAGCGTAACTGAATTTGTTGGTTAATTTTAAAATTAATTAAGAGTTTTAACTCAATCATGATAAAAGTAAAAAAAAATCATTTCCTTTGAAGTTGTGGAAACCTTGCAGATCAAGAACGACCACTAAGTGACTAACTATATGTATGTTGGTGTTATATTTCATGACATGAATCCTTGTTTTATAAACAAGGAGTTTCAGAGGTGTCTAATAATTTGATATTTGGTATCTAATAATTCAAAGATACAAACAAGCCTGGAGAGGACAAAGTACATTACACAACAACCAGGATGTGACTTAGACCTGGTTTTATTTATAGACACTGGAGGGTAGACATATGAATAAGTTGAGAAGTTACTGTGGGGACAATACAATTAGTCTTAATTTTTGAGGCAGTCTGCCCCTTTATCAAATCAGATAAATGAAACAAGCGGTAAAAACACACTTACTACTGAATTTCTAATGCTGATGTAGAAACTTATCCCTGCAGCTATATAGTTAGCTAATAGAACCGAACACTTATGAGAAAACGATGAATGACAAGGTAGAAACTGGTACTTTAGTCTAGTTTTTTAATGATCTTTGACTTATTATTGGTAGATCTTTGTTGTATGTATAGATAGTGTACAAGTTATATTTAGTGAAAGTTACTGACATATTTGCTTTACTTACAGGTCCATCACCAGCTAAGCAACCAAGGCCAGGATATCAAGGCCAGCAACAGTCTACAGGTTTGTGATCAGTACATGTTCAGTGGAATGTAAAATGTAAAGTTTGGTCTAGTGAATACTATGTTAGAGAAGGGATGTACATGTACCCACAAGTATACATGTAAGAATATATTTCCAGTGACACCCACGCATTGAAAGGACTATGCGACAGTGCTGGTTGTTCAAATCGCTTTTTGTCTGTAGTTTAGAGTTCATCAGTCAGGAAGTCCATCATTTCTTGTCTGAACATTGTATGCTGTCTGTGTGTCTGCTTTAAGAATGTTCTGATCAAGTTCCATAAAGTCCAGGGTTTCTGATTTTTCGCCAGTAGGACTTGAGATAGAGATCTATAAAATTTCCTCGTATAAAAGACCTTGACATCCTTTCAAGGTGAGAGGGTCAAATACTTAAAATACTTACAACAACAATTATCTGAAGAATAAAAAGGACCTGAGCCATCATATTTGGATATGTTATATAAATAGGTAGTGTAAACCTTGTTATGGATTATATACTTGGCCCATATAGTTCTGTATGTTCCAATTTCAGAGTTCATGAGCTCAAAGTTCATGTTGCAATTAGATTTCCACAACTTCATTGTTACCTCAGTACCGTGATTTGTTCAGAAAAAAAGAAAATAATAAAAACCTACATACCAGCAACATTCCATGGTATTTGAGCCATGATCCCTCTGGGATCTCAAGTGTTCTGTTACACTTTCATCACGGTGTCAACAACATCAAGATGACTAGCTCACTTTAAAATTACAGAAATGGAATCAATGTTGCACGTCCTTATGATCGATATAGAGATAGTAATGATAGAATACAGAACTCATGTTACAAAAGGTTTGTAATGTTTTGTCGTAGTTCTATCAGTCCAGGTATAAGCCCGAGTTGTATGTGTATGGTGGATGGAACCTATACAATTTTAACTAACTTATTACAATCAGAATTGGAATGATTTTGATAAGTAAGTATACATGTTTTCCATCTATTTTCAGATCTGGCTACTATGATTGTTACAACAGCAGACACAATCCAAGCCAAAAGTAAGTTTGACAGCTTCAGTGTTATCCACAGGCCTTTATAGCCAGACGTACTTCTGGTTATATTTTACTAGCAGGTTATTTTATGAATTTGAATGAAGAAACTAAGTATGGTGGAATGTTTTGGAAAGATAAACAACAGTCAGACCAAGTGCCAGAAAGCTAGTATCTCCACCTTATTGTCAATATATAGGAATACTTAGAAAGTCCAACTAGCTCTGTTTCTGGCTTTAAGTGACTGGACAGTCTAAAGCTATATTATTGAAATTAATTAAAAATTCTCCCTTTTAATAAATTGTGATTCCACTTCAACAGATATTCATGTGATGTAAAAGAATCAGAAGACAATTACCTGTACTAGTTCTGTCATGTATACATGTAATGATATCTACTAGTGTACTAGTTCCGTCATGTATACATGAAATGATATCTACTAGTGTACTAGTTCTGTCATGTATACATGTAATGATATCTACTAGTGTACTAGTTCTGTCATGTAATGATATCTATTAGTGTACTAGTTCTCTATACATGTAATGATATCTACTAGTGTACTAGTTCTGCTGTGTATACATGTAATGATATCTACTAGTGTACTAGTTCTGTTGTGTAAATATGTAATGATATCTACTAGTGTACTAGTTTTGTCATGTGTACATGTAATGATATCTACTAGTCTACTAGTTCTGTCATGTATACATGTAATGATATCTACTAGTGTACTAGTTCTGTCATGTATACATGTAATGATATCCACTAGTGCACTAGTGCTGTCATGTTTACATGTAATGATATCTACTAGTGTACTATTATGATCTATAGTTTGGTAACCGACTTGTCAGTTTCAGATCACTGTGTAAGAAGTAAGTAGTAAGAAAGTTTGTCTGGAATAAATAATCTGTTTAAAATTCAAATTATGTCTTCTCTATTTAATGTAAATCTCTTACTTTACAGAAATCCATCCTGACTTAGAACCCATGATAGGTGAGTCTTATCTACTGGATTGGACATGGTTAGAGAAGAAACGTAGCAGATTTCCTCAAAACTTGGACAAGAATGACATGCATCATCTAAACATATCTGTATATGAAAGAAATTTTAAAGTTCTTTTTGAACAAGAATCTTGGTTTGCCAAAAGAGTAGTCTTGGTAATCAAATTTAACACCAATCTGATAAAGTTTATTCTTTTTCTGTTTCCACACACTACGGTGAAGGATCTAACGACAAGTTCTTAACAGGTCATGTTCTGGTGAATGTTATTGTAGTCAATCATTGAAATGTCCTTCAAATAGTCTCAATATTTCAAATACATATAATTTTACATGACCTCTGTATTGAAGGTCACCAGAGCATGACCCCTGATGTCATGTCATCCGATCTTACACCATAGATATTGTAGAGGAACAGAATGAAAGATTTTATTTAAATTGGATTTGAATTTTAAGCTCATCTGGAACAAAGTACTAGTGAGCTTTTGTGGTGGTGCTTCATCTGTCGTCATCTCTGTCTTCGATCTTTTTTTGCTTTAAATGACATCTCCTAAACTGTTAAGCAGAATTCAACCAATTTCTAAAATCCTTATGCCAAGGGAATCAAAAGATTTATAGATAAAGGGGTCCCCTCCCCTTTCCCCCACGGGGTACTGGGGGCTGACTGATTTGCATTAAGAGACATCTCACCAACTAATGGGCAAGATTTAACAAAATTGTTGTAGTAGCATAATTAGCCCATGGGGATCAAACTTTACACAAATTAAGAGCTGATTCTTGGGGGTTGAGAGTTAGGATCAAAAGAGGTTGAATTGGAAGTTTAACTTTAAATGACATCTCTTCCCAAATTACATGGCAGGTTTTAAGCAAATTGCTGTGGTAGTATTCTTTACCCATGGGTATCAAAATTAAAGCAAATAAATGCAATTGATATAAACGGCACTCTCTTCCCAAATTATCGGCCAGACTTCAACTAGATTTCTAAAATAGTCAGGTGAGGCACAAGAGCACAAGACAAGTAAACCAGAGGTCCTGGGTTTGATCCCTAGCACAGACGTTAGAAATAATGACTTCTTTCAGGATAAACATGCCAAGACTTAATTAAACTTATTATTGAAACATAGATAAATAAACATAATGTAGAAAGAATTTCAATTGACTAACACTATTTGACTGCCGAAAACACCATACTGAATGTATGAATGAATTAGTGACATCATGATTCACTATGATTTTGAAAGGTTTGGAAACTGATATTTGCTTGCTTACATAGTGAGAATGAAGTTTCTTAATTTATGTTGATTGCTTATCCTAACCGGTTACATATTTTTTCTATGATATCAGTCGATATATTTTATGATACTACAATCAATTTGTTCATTCAACTCCTCCTTTACAAATGATTCCAACAATATTCTGTATTTGAAAGTAAAATGAAAACAATACCCTGTTTAACAGATTAAAGTTATATAAGTTTCATTCTGAAATATCAGTTTTACACATTTTAGACGTATCACCCTATATTTTCTATTTTTTTCATACAGAAAAAGCAAAAGCCAAAATTAAAAAAGAAAATGAAAAAGAGATAAAATTCCACCCCACCAAAGGTTTCTGGGATGCTAAAGAAAAGCTCCTAAAGAACAGGGTTGTTGTCATCAAAGGAAATACGGGAGACGGTAAAACAGCAATCGCCTTCCAACTTCTTCATTTGCTGAGGGAGGAACAGCAAGCCGGACAACCCCTACAAATTCACGAGATTAAGAAATTAGATTTATTGGCTCCAAACTTGAAATTGATCACTTTTATTGATGATATTTTTGGTGAGATAGATGCAAGTAAATCGGATGTACAAGAGTGGAACAAAAGAATCTCAGATGTAGATACACTTTTTGTTGATGAACAGGCCGAGACCAATTTTCTCATCATTACTATTCGAAATGAAGTATTCAATTCTTTGGAAAAACGTTCTCTTGGAAAAATTTTAACCAAAGATAACATTATTGATTTAAGTTCATATACATACAAACTTGCAGAAGAAAAGAAACAACTTTTAGAGCTGTATAAGCCAAAAAACTTTTCATGGACAGATCAAGAAAAAACCCAAATTTCAACTTATGCACCAAACATTGGATTCCCACAATGTTGCCAGCTTTTCTACAATTCTAAAGAATTGCAGAAAGAGCGAGTGAGATTTTATGAAAATCCTTTTCATTTCTTGAATGAAGCATTGTCAAGATTACAAGAATGTTCTGCACTTTTGTACCTCTTCCTCAATGGCGGAATGATGATAGTAAAAGATCTTGATCCAAACAGTAAAACAGTCAATGAAAAATTGCTGGAAGAAGCTTTTGAAATCAATTTGATTGGTGGTGAAGATGACAGTACCAAATTGACATATAAGAAAAAAGTAGGATTTGTAAAAGAAAATTTGGAAAAGTTGTTAGGATTTTTAGTAGTGAAGGAGACACATTGGTCTGGTGAGGATGTGTACAGATTTAATCATGATTCTATTTATGTTGCTGTGGCATTTTTGTATGGAAAAGCCACACCGATTGGCTACATACAGAATTGTCCAAGCAAATCCCTCAGTTATCTAACAACCTCAAAAACAAAAACAGCTACAAACATGATTGTCATATCATCTGATCATTATACAGAAATGTGTGAGCGTCTACTCCGAGAGTTTGAATGTGAGGAGAAACGATATGGTACTAGTAGTATTGGAACTCTAGATGTATGGAATGATCCTGTATTTGTTGAAATATTTGTCAGATTGTTGAATGACAGAAAAGTTGACAAACTTGCTGTTTTGAATAAAGCATGTTATCTTGGTGCAGAAGAATGTGTTTTATATCTTCTGTCAGAAGGTGTAAAACCTCACAAGTACACAAGATTGTGGTCATTGATTGACAGACATCGGAATGATAGTAACAGACAAGTGTGTCTACTTCAGGAAATTGTTGTATACTTGAATGATGAGACAAAACTTGATTTGTTGAATGAAGCATGTTCTTGTGGTGCAGAAGAATGTGTTGTATATCTTCTGTCAGAAGGTGTTAAACCTGACAAGGACACAGCATTGTGGTCATTGTTTTACAGACATTGGAATGATAGTAACAGACAAGAGTGTTTACTTAAGAAAATTGTTGTATACTTGAATGATGAGACAAAACTTGATGTGTTGAAAGAAACATGTAATTCTGGTGCAGAAGAATGTGTTTTATACCTTCTGTCAGAAGGTGTTAAACCTGACGAGGACACAGAATTGTGGTCATTAATTGACAGACATCGGAATGATAGTAACAGACAAGTGTGTTTACTTAAGAAAATTGTTGTATACATGAATGATGAGACAAAACTTGATTTGTTGAATGAAGCATGTTCTTGTGGTGCAGAAGAATGTGTTGTATATCTTCTGTCAGAAGGTGTTAAACCTGACAAGGACACAGCATTGTCATTGATTGACAGACATCGTAATGATGGTAACAGACAAGTGTGTTTACTTAAGAAAATTGTTGTATACATGAATGATGAGACAAAACTTGATTTGTTGAATGAAGCATGTTCTTGTGGTGCAGAAGAATGTGTTGTATATCTTCTGTCAGAAGGTGTTAAACCTGACAAGGACACAGCATTGTCATTGATTGACAGACATCGTAATGATGGTAACAGACAAGTGTGTTTACTTAAGAAAATTGTTGTATACATGAATGATGAGACAAAACTTGATTTGTTGAATGAAGCATGTTCTTGTGGTGCAGAAGAATGTGTTGTATATCTTCTGTCAGAAGGTGTTAAACCTGACAAGGACACAGCATTGTCATTGATTGACAGACATCGGAATGATGGTAACAGACAAGTGTGTTTACTTAAGAAAATTGTTGTATACATGAATGATGAGACAAAACTTGATTTGTTGAATGAAGCATGTTCTTGTGGTGCAGAAGAATGTGTTGTATATCTTCTGTCAGAAGGTGTTAAACCTGACAAGGACACAGCATTGTCATTGATTGACAGACATCGGAATGATGGTAACAGACAAGTGTGTTTACTTAAGAAAATTGTTGTATACTTGAATGATGAGACAAAACTTGATGTGTTGAATGAAGCTTGTTCTTCTGGTGCCGAAGAATGTGTTTTATATTTTCTGTTTGAGGGAGTAGAACCTGACAAGGACACAGCGATTAGTGCGGTGGAGGGAGGGAGTGTGAAAGTGTTACGTAAACTACTGGAGTATGACGTCACTCCTACAGCGAGGGATTATACCAATAGCAATGTCCTACATAAGGCGTGTCAATATGGGAGAGAAGAGATGGTGACGTTGTTATGTGACACTTACCCACACTTGGTACATGACACTGATGATGATGGACGAACCCCGCTCCATGATGTGGCAGGGACAAGAAACTGTTCTATGTTTAAAACAGTGGAGAGGTTTGTACTTAACTCCTTATATAGAGTTGAGGACCAACATCATAAGTGTGAGTCAGAAGATGGTCGTGTAATTCATAGGAACTGTGTGTGTGCTCAGTACATGGCTCAGTTAGTGGGTGTGTGTGGGAGAACGGTGTTACATAAGAGTTGTGCGAGTCGAAACAGGGAGGTTTGTTTATATGTATGTCGGTCGTACCCAGCACTAACTACAGCTGTAAGTAAAGACGGCCGTCATTGTCTACATTACATAGCTGGGTCATTAGGTCAGATGTAGACATGTTTACTGAGTGTGAAACTCATGTAAATCGATGCCTAGAATCTACAGGACATAAATATGACATTACAGACTTACTTGACAATGACGGGGAAACAGCGTTACATAAGAGTTGTGAGAGTGGAAACAGGGAGCTTTGTTTATATTTATGTCAGTCGTACGCAGCACTAACTACAGCTGTAAGTAAAGACGGCCGCCATTGTCTACGTTTGTTTATATGTATGTCGGTCGTACCCAGCACTAACTACAGCTGTAAGTAAAGACGGCCGTCATTGTCTACATTACATAGCTTGGTCATTTATGTCAGATGTAGACATGTTTACTGAGTGTGAAACTCATGTAAAGGGTGTGTGTGGGGGAACGGAGTTACATAAGAGTTGTGCGAGTCGAAACAGGGAGGTTTGTTTATATGTATGTCGGTCGTCCCCAGCACTAACTACAGCTGTAAGTAAAGACGGCCGCCATTGTCTACGTTTGTTTATATGTATGTCGGTCGTACCCAGCACTAACTACAACTGTAAGTAAAGACGGCCGTCATTGTCTACATTACATAGCTTGGTCATTTATGTCAGATGTAGACATGTTTACTGAGTGTGAAACTCATGAGAAAGAATACCTAGAATCTACAGGACATAGATATGACATTACAGACTTACTTGACAATGACGGGGAAACAGCGTTACATAAGAGTTGTGAGAGTGGAAACAGGGAGCTTTGTTTATATTTATGTCAGTCGTACGCAGCACTAACTACAGCTGTAAGTAAAGACGGCCGCCATTGTCTACGTTTGTTTATATGTATGTCGGTCGTACCCAGCACTAACTACAGCTGTAAGTAAAGCCGGCCGTCATTGTCTACATTACATAGCTTGGTCATTTATGTCAGATGTAGACATGTTTACTGAGTGTGAAACTTATGTGAAACAATACCTAGAATCTACAGGCAGACTTACTTGACAATAACGGGGAAATAGTGTTACATAAGAGTTGTGAGGAGGGCAACAGGGAGGTTTGTTTATATGTATGTCGGTCGTACCCAGCACTATCTACAGCTGTAAGTAAAGACGGCCGTCCTTGTCTACATTACATAGCTGGGTCATTTAGGGCAGATGTAGACATGTTTACTGAGTGTGAAACTCATGTGAAACAATACCTAGAACCTTCAGGACATAAATATGACATTACAGACTTACTTGACAATGACGGGGAAACAGCGTTACATAAGAGTTGTGAGAGTGGAAACAGGGAGCTTTGTTTATATTTATGTCAGTCGTACGCAGCACTAACTACAGCTGTAAGTAAAGCCGGCCGTCATTGTCTACATTACATAGCTGGGGCATTAGGTCAGATGTAGACATGTTTACTGAGTGTGAAACTCATGTAAAGGGTGTGTGTGGGGGAACGGAGTTACATAAGAGTTGTGCGAGTCGAAACAGGGAGGTTTGTTTATATGTATGTCGGTCGTCCCCAGCACTAACTACAGCTGTAAGTAAAGACGGCCGCCATTGTCTACATTACATAGCTGGGTCATTGATGTCAGATGTAGACATGTTTACTGAGTGTGAAACTTATGTGAAACAATACCTAGAATCTACAGGACATAAATATGACATTCCACACTTACTTGACAATGACGGGGAAACAGCGTTACATAAGAGTTGTGAGAGTGGAAACAGGGAGCTTTGTTTATATTTATGTCAGTCGTACGCAGCACTAACTACAGCTGTAAGTAAAGACGGCCGCCATTGTCTACGTTTGTTTATATGTATGTCGGTCGTACCCAGCACTATCTACAGCTGTAAGTAAAGACGGCCGTCCTTGTCTACATTACATAGCTGGGTCATTAGGTCAGATGTAGCCATGTTTACTGAGTGTGAAACTCATGTGAAACAATACCTAGAACCTTCAGGACATAAATATGACATTACAGACTTACTTGACAATGACGGGAAAACAGTGTTACATAAGAGTTGTGCGATTGGAAACAGGGAGGCTTGTTTATATTTATGTCGGTCGTACCCAGCACTAACTACAGCTGTAAGTAAAGACGTCCGTCATTGTCTACATTACATAGCTGGGGCATTAGGTCAGATGTAGACATGTTTACTGAGTGTGAAACTTATGTGAAACAATACCTAGAATCTACAGGACATAAATATGACATTCCACACTTACTTGACAATGACGGGGAAACAGTGTTACATAAGAGTTGTGAGAGTGGAAACAGGGAGCTTTGTTTATATTTATGTCAGTCGTACGCAGCACTAACTACAGCTGTAAGTAAAGACGGCCGTCATTGTCTACATTGTATAGCCTTATAGTCTTATAATACCTAGAATCTACAGGACGCAAGAATAATATAACAACCATGCTTGACAATTACGGTAACTCTGTTTTAGACAAAGCGAAGCAAGGGGCATTTTTGTGGGAAATCAGAAGGCAAGGGTTCTTTCACAGGAAAAAAAACAACCCTTTGTTAGATCACCTTGTCAAAGTGTTTGATAAATAAAACTGTTATTGATTTCCCAATGAAAATTATTATCAACACAAACATTTTAAAACAATCATGTGGAAAGGTCATATCATGATGAATTGTTTAAGCGAAGACATTTTATCAGTTTTGAATTATGCCTATTTCTTTGGGAAACACTAAAGACCTGAATGGAGAGGATCATGTCGGGTTTTAGACCAGAGTTGATGAATTAAAACTCTGATGTTTTATGATTGATCATGATTGTGGTGTTATAGGTTTTAAATGTTATTGAAGTATTGCATACATAATGTTCATACTTGCCAACTGTCTCTATATAGGAGGGAGACTTTCGATTTTGGGCCCTACAATTTAGCATTTCCAACCAATGAATTTGCTAAACTATTCCTAATTTCAAATATCTGATGATTTCATATAAAGGAACAGCCCAAAAGATGCCATTTAAAACCGTTAGTTTTTCTGTATTGTGTACATACACTCGTTTATTTATGCTTTTAATTCTGAGAATGTGTTATCTCACCCAATGCGTATGAATGTTAAGTCCGGTGGATGAATGAAACCTAAACAGCAGTTAGGTTGGATACATTGTTGATAAATTAGAACCATTTGATGATTAAACATCATGTCTAGGGTGTAAATTTTACAGTGGATTTCACAGTTCACCTGGACAGACTTGTAAACTTCGTCATTTCAAATATTGTCAAAACATTTTTTACTTGTTTATTTTGTTTATAGATTGTTCAATTTGTTGATCTTTAATTGTCTAAACTAATTTATCTATATTGGAATTTATCCTCATATTTTGTGTAGTCTAAGATTTATTGGATGTTATTTTTTTGTTTTCAATTAAATTAGTTCGAAATGAAGTTTAATTCTTTTGCAAGGAGTTTTAACTAGTATAAGGATGTCGCATTCGGGTTTCGGCAGTGGGGGCAATTGCGATGAGGTTTGGCCTCACAGATGACTGAACAGACTTTGTCAGGAATGAAATATATGACCTTTTTTTCTTCGGGTATGAATTCACATTAAGCAAGACAAAAGGTGTATTAAGCAAAACTGCACATTATGCATGTTTCTTAATGAGATATAAATTCTAACGTTTCCTTGGCGAAGTTCCAGTATGTGTTACATGTATTAGTGTAAAGACGGCATCCAATGTCTTAAAATATCCCCGTGTAGAGTCCCACAGATACGTGATACAGATTGATAAAATGGCTATGTCAAAGCACATAATACCTGTATGTTTTCTTGTATATTTTTTATGTAATAGTGAAATTAAATATATAAGATACATTTCTTTTTAGTAATATGACTTCCAATTTTATCATCTCTAGGTGGAGTTATTATTCCCTCGCAACAAGGTTGTGGACGGGATATAGCATTGGTTTTGTCCGACTACTTGGGTAATTCGTACACATACATATATAGTAACATTTTGTCATTGCTTTAAAGGATCTTGATAAAACTCCAGACATTTGTTAGGTATGAGAATACCTCAAATACTGACATGTTTGAGGGTGCCAAGGTTAAAGTCATTATTACTATTTATAGAATTTCTCATCACTCTAGCAACTTCATTCCTGCACGAATTTCCATGAAACTTTATTAAAGATCAACTTGTGAGATTACATGCACATGTACCAGCAAGTTCGTTATTGAGGTTCCCAAGGTCATGGTCATCGTTACTATTTATAGAAAGTATTTGTTATCGCTTTAGTGAATTTATTTCTGAACGGAATTTAATCAACATAATTTGTCGGTCTAGTATGAGAACCGCTACAAGTTCTTGTTACAGGGAGCCAGGGTCAAGGTGACTGTTACTTTTTGTATGTCTACATGTAATACAGGGGTTTATTATGGTTTGACACTATTCATTCGTCTGTCTGTCCGTACACATATTGTGTCCGGCTCATAACTGTGTAACTCTTGCTTGTATCTTTATGAAACTTTATTGGATTGTTACCCATAACCTAGATTTAGCATGACCTGTTCACAATATCAATTCTGACTCATACATTTGTCATTTTTTCTTGGACATACCAAACTTATAAGATTATTCCCAAAGAGTGTGTCATGAACTTGCTCCAAGGTCATATCTCCAAGGTCAAGGTCATGGGGTATCAACATATTCAGACTGTTCACACAGATTTATTGTTTTAACTTTTTGTATCAATTCAGCTGAAGAAGATTGTTGCTCATAACACAGGGTTGTGTCATGACCTCCACCCAAGGTCATTTCCCGAAGGTCAAGGTCATGGGGCATCAACATCAATAAACTGTATCTAGTCCATAATTTATGATCTTCTGAATCTGTGTCCTACTTCATAAGATTGGTGTCCAAAATCCTAGAGTGTGTGATGACAATAACACAAGGTCATTTCCCCAATGTCAAGGTCATGGAGCAT